CCGCAACCATCTGTTATTGCAGGTATTAACAGGCAGTTTTCCCATATCTCTATAAACGTTGCCGGTGGGATCATAGAACCCAAATCCCCGCTCGGTACAGGCGACAAAAGTATCCCGTGCGGCGGCCAGATAATATATCCAGGCAGGAGGACGGGTACTGTGCCGCAGCGTCAGGCTTGTACCTTCAAAGCGCCACGATTGTAACGAAAGGATACGATTGTCGAAGCAAAAAAGCAAAAGATCGTCCCCAATAAGAGCGGAGGCCCTCATCTGCGCTTTTATCACAGGGATCAATTTACCCTGGCTAAACCGGAAGATGTATTTATTGGAAACAAAGTACTCCTGCCCACCGTGCATGAAAATATCATTGAAGGTCTGATCAGGTGGCACTGCGATGTCCTTTACAACAGCATGGTCCTTCATTACCACAGCTACCCGCTTGCCCATAAGGCAGCAATGGCCATCCATATCCCGGCGAAGCACATGATATTGAACACCGGCTTGCTCGATCTGCCGGCAAAGCGAATCATTCCCACTATGAAATACTTTTCCGTCTTTGAGATAACAGGCACGTTTATTATAACAGGCGAGCCAATAACGATGATAATCGTCCTCAGCCACTGAAAATACGTCATTGTCCGGCAGCCCGTCTTTAACAGAGAAATTACGGAAGGAGTGTCCGTCGAACCTGCTTATGCCCTGATCGGTAGAGAACCAAATGAAGCCTTTGCTATCCTGGGAAATATCGTAAATGGTATTGCTCGGCAACCCGTCCCGGACCGTATAATGCCGCAGCAACGCCCGTTGTGCATGTGCAACAGTTATTGTAAGGCAGGCCAGCAGGAGCAAGCATTTTCTTTTCGAAAGCATAACGATCAAGGCCCTAAAATAATAGTAAAACAGGCAGCGTGCACACCTGGAACAGATTGTAAAATTTAGCCTGTGCAGTTACAGTTCATTCCTGCTCAGATACTAAAATACTGTGTCCGGTCACCAAATACCATTTTTTTGGTCCGCAGTTCGTTTGCTATTTGCAGAGAGATTTAAAACTATATCCAAGAGATAAAATTTCCCGCATTACAGGCAAGCGGGACGACATCTGCCAGAAGACGTAATTATAAAATTAAAAAGCCATACAAAACCAACATTCGTATATTAGTTTTTGAAAATCTAACTCGTATAAAAAGCAACATTTCTTATTTAAATAAAATCATCAACACAGATCATACAAATTTTCATGAATAAAAACCGTATTGCTACACT